GTGTGCCACTTGTATTGGCTACAGCATTGGCAGAGTTCTTGTTCACTTATACTGGACTGGCATTTGGAGCATAGTCCAAATCCTAAAATACCATGCAGCTTTCCCTTTAATTTTTATATATTTTTTATCTTCTCTTTCAAAATTGCTCAGTAATCTTCTATTCTTGGCCATGGCGGGGGCGGGGGGAGATATCCAACTATGGCATATTCAGCATAGACCTATTACAATCAATGTTAAGTAAGTTGAGTCCATTGATTTCAACAGGGGAGAAGGTGGTTTCTGCAAGTGCTTTAGAGGGAAGTGAGGGGCAGATGAGGGTCATCCACTTGGGAAGGTAGCCCATCTAAGAGAAGGAAAACTCTAATCCTAAACCTCCGCTGCCTTGCAGGATATCATTGGGAGAAGAAAAAGCTAAGGAATAAGACGGTTGGATGGTGCCTTGTACACCTCCTTCCAGCAATTCCTGCAGCCAAGCTGGTGCCTAACATATTGCTCATTTTTCCTTTGGACCACATCTTGTCATCTGGGCAGCCCAGGACCTCCATACACACTGCCCAGGCTTGTGCCCCAAGGAGGTCACTTTGGTGATGATAACGCAGTGGTTTGACTTCACCCCCAGAGACGCGCTCCGTTATCTCTCGAGACAGACAGATACCAACAACAACAACAACTGACAGGGAGGGAAGAGGAACTTATGGTGTTTTCTTCCTCAGGTTCCAAATAAGTTGACCCACCTTGGGCACTAGCCATGGTGAGGAGTGGGGCACCATTTGTTGTTCCACCTTATGCAGCAAAATGTCTTGGGAAAGCCCTGGGGTGGATAATCTTTTAGTGTGTGTTTGTTCCTTGCACTTGCCCTCCTCTCCTTCTGTCCATTAATTGGGTAAAACAAGCCTGATTTCACCTTGCAAACATAGCTAGAATTAAAAGGCTTTTCCCACATAGGACTGCACTGAAAGGCGACTGGTTTCCTTTTCACATTTGCAAATGTAATTCATTCCCCTTCTGAGCTCTCTTTTCTTCCTATGAAGTCCTTTCTTCTCTCATCCACAGGAGCAAGTTAACAGGGGGTCAGTGCCATCTAGTGGAGATAACAGGAAAACACAAACTTGCCCCTCCTTGGCTCACATGGATTTAAAATTAATTGCTCATTCAGCCAATGGTCATTATGAGATTGCTGGGTTGCACAGCAACTTGAGTCATTTTGCACCATGTGAGACACAAATGCAGTGTGTTTTTTGGAACATGAAAAGGAAGACGGAACAGGAAAAGAAGAAGGAATGTTGTTGGTCTTTAGCTAGTTGGTTGCTTCTCAGGGATGGGTGAACTTCCTCAGCCAGAGACTAATTTGCTCAGCCAGCAAGGAATTCAGTGTTACAGTTTTGGGCAAAGATTCTCTGGTATTTCAAGATGCAAAGATGCAAAGATACACAGAAGCACACTATGGCAGAAAAAAACATTAAGCTGCACAATATCCACCAGGTGGCACACCTACAGTACTCTAAAGTCCCACTTGGGCAAAAGACCGGCTCCTTTTTTTCCTGGGTACTGCCAGATATATAGATGAGTTACACTAAATTTACAAATTAATTTGCCCCCTCAGTGGTTATTTTCACAGCGTTCCAATAATTATGGGCCCAGATTTGTTGTTTTGCCTTTCATTCTCTGCACTAAGGATCAATACCAGCTGTTTTATAATAGCACGTCATTCATTAATGACTTGGGCCAGGAATGCACTTTATAAAATACATTTAAAAAAACAAAAACAATTACATGTAGGACCTGTGACACTGGCTTGTGGAGTGCTCTCCTTCAGGGTTTCAGGCAGGGAGCCATGTCCATTTTCAGGATACTCCATTCCATTTCCCCTCCTCCAGCTGTGATCCCCAGCCCCTCTGCTACCAACACACTCAGTTTTCTGTACATACCTACCTAGTGCTGGTGAAGGTTTATTCCCCCTTCAACCTACTTTTTATTCCCTAAACAGCTCCATGAGTTTGACTGGTGTCAGAAACAGCAACTGATCCAGGGCTACTCTGAATTCTTAAAGCGAAACCCACAGTAAGTTAACGTTGGGGAGCCTTTTCGAAAATACCAAGTTTGTTATTTTCAAACACCCAGGAGATATTAGATGCCACATTTTCTTATAGCAACTGGAGATCAAGAATGTACGTTGCTAAGTCTGGTACCTGTACACAGGAGTAGGGAGAACCAGATTGTTCAGAATCAAGTATATGAAGAGTGCCACTGCCACATGCCACCTTCCCAGTCTCCTGCAACATGCCCTTTGGGAGCAACCTCAGGAGTTGTCGCATGCAAGGAGGGGGAAACTCTTATTTGCAAAGACCTACCATGCCATGTTTTGTTTTACTCATTATCAGGGTGGGTGGAGAAGAGGAGAAAGCATGCAGCAGCCATACATCTGAGGCCCACTAGTCGATAGCCACATTTCCAGGAACTGTCGTTTTAGTTTTTTAAGAAACCAGCATGTTTCCCATGTTACAAGAATGGGTGGTGCAGTAATGTAAGTTTAACTCTCTCAGAGAGAGAGGAAGCATCCTTCACATCACCTGTGAAAACACTCAGAGAGACTCTCATATCCTGGGCTTTCCAAACCCAACACTTTAGGACTCACAAAGCCATGTTTGATCAATATAGTGGCTGAAGTGTAAACATGCACTCATGAAAACCAGCCAGTTGGAAGTGACACTTTAAACCCCTTCTTGGCAGAGCACTGCTCGCTCTCTGCATCTCTTGAACTTTTCAGAATGATGCTCTCTTTTGAGTCCCGCACGTACAAAGCTGGGCTGAGTGTTTCCCTCCCTCCCTCGGCCTTGCTTTGTGTGACTGATGGATGGCCTGAGGGGCTTCCCTCCGCAACCCATTCCTCGAGCCCCCCACCCCACCCCACATGCCTGAATGGCTTATTAGGGAGCCCCTTTGTGGTGTAATTGGATTTCTCCCCTTGTTAGTTTGAAATGAAAATGTCATCTCGATCGAGGGAGGAGCCCATTCAACTCAAATTAAAGCCGGTCATCTCTTCAGTGAGCTGTGAAGCTATTCATGCTGCAGCAAGCAGCTGCAACTGGAGGCGCTCTCGACAATGCCTCAGAAGTGGTCTCCAACCCCAGCTCCCTCCCCACACAACGCACCCCACCACACACAACTGGTCTGCTTCTGTGGTGCTACACACACGTATATTGGCCACCCAAACAGCAACAATGTTTAGTCAGGAAAACGCTCGAAAGCTCAAGGCTCCCAGGAAACAGAAAATGTCCAGAACTGGGTTTGGTGGGAGAATCTTAGGGATCCCTAGCTGAATGAGCAATCACAACTGGCCTGCTGTCAGCAGCTGCCAGGGCCCAGCAGGACTACAGGACCCAGGTGGCTGGGTCGCAAGTCACCATTTATATTCTCCACAATTCTCTGGGCACTGTGAGACACTTTAAATAGCAGCTTCCCTACCACCAGGTGAGCCCACGGTCTGTGAAGCTCACCCATGCAGATAGTACCATGTCAAGGTATTAGTAATGGGTTTACAAATGGCCTCCAAACCCAAGTATAAAGGATGCCTGGAACGGTCATCTGGACAGGGAGTGGACTGTAAGTCATCACCTAGGCCCAGCCTGCCTCCTGCTGGAACCACCCAGACCATAGGCGCACTCCATCTGAGGGGCTGAGCCCCCTCAAAAAATTTTTGGGGGGGCTAGCCCCCAATATCTCGGCGGGCGCCTCCACAGAGCGCGCCGCCGTCGCGCCTCCTCCCCTGCCTTCACACCTTAACCAGGGCCGACAGCCTGGCCTAGCGCTGGCTGCTGGCCATTTGCCCACTCCAGACCACAGGCAAATACATGGCAAATACGCCTCAAGGAGCCAGGCTCGGCCCTCAAGTCTGAGCAGACATGTTTCAAATACAACATCCCATGGGAACATGGTTATTTAAGGAGATTAGGATTGAAGATTAATGCACCCGGAGGACAGGCCACCCACCCCCCTTCCACTTAAACCCATTGTTCTGTTATTGTAGGGAGCATCACCTCTACAGCAAGCGCAGGAGCAAGCTGCTAACAGGATTAGTTCTGTTACTTGAACTCACAATAGTGGCTGCCGGCACTGAAGGACCACCTCTGACAGGGGTTTCCCTCAAAAATTCAGACAATCCACAAAAGCGGGTGAATAAAAGCCAAGGGAGAGAACAATACTTGGGGGGGGGGAGTCACAGATTATTGCGGGTCAGCTTCCCAACCCAATATAAATAATAAAATCATTCTCATCATAGCAATCAAAACCCCAGAAGCTGTTGTAGCCACATCCTGTGAGCTCCTAACTTGCACATTAAAACTGCTTATGTGCACAGAGAGGCTGAGCATCTCCCCATGTCCTTCTCCAAGCTTGTCTCTCCAGCCCCTGGGTGAGCAGAACCAGTGGTGTGGCTCTTTGGATCCCAGCCAGCGCTGCTGCCTGCTCTTTGATACATCTGCTAACCAAGTGAGTGACTGAAAAGCTGGAAGCGATGCTACCCTACTAACCTGAACAAGCAAAGTTTCCCCATTTGCATTTGTTTAAAATTACAGAATATGCTGAGGTTTAAGAACGGACAAATGTTTGTGAACCATTTTGGGGGGCTTTTTGGCTGAAAGGCACCCCAAAAATAAATTCTAACCCATTCAGATCTGTCCTTCATCTAGACAAGGCAAAACAACTTCCAAAAGCAAATAGAGGTATTTTTGTTTAAATCAGCTTATAGCAGCCACTGTCAAGCTGTTGGTGTATCTTCAGATGGGAGGGTTTAGTCATTTGAGTGTTTAAAGTGTTGTGGATGTTATATTTCTACAGCTTAATGCAATACTTTTGGTTTTAAACATGTTGCAACTGGCCTTACATCCACAGGATAAATCTGAAATATAAGTTATGTCGACAGCCAGTTTTTCATTTAAGCTTGCAGCATTCATTATTAGCAGCCCAAGATCAAACACATAAAGGAATGGAAGCCACAGCCATTTGGAAAGGAACAAAAGATGTGTATTAAGGAACAGTTTGCAACTAGTATTACAAAGAGTTGAGGGAGGTGGTTACAAAGCTTTCCTTTGCTTGGATTAGATTCCTCCACTCCTGTTTTCAAGAGGAGGCCACCACTAGCAGGGGAAGAAGTGTGGGTGGGTGGGGAGTTCTCCCACCAGGTCGTTTTGCAAGGATGCAGAAATGTCCATTCACGTTAATTGACAGACATGAGAACCACGTTACACATGCCCACTGCACACTCACTTAGTAAGGCTCCCCCACTGCAACACACACAAACCACACACACATTCTAAGACAATGGCTGGTTTCATGCTTAAGGCAGACCCCAAGTGAGCACCCCGGGAGCCAGCACTCACACAGGGGCAACCATTCATCAGCACTGTTGCCTCCAGCATGGGGACTGTGTATGCGACAATGCAAAGTACAGGGGCCACATATACAGCTCCCAACATGGAAAATAATTCTCAGAATTGCCCGTCCTCATGTACGCTGATTAGCTACAGAGTGGCCTCCTATCAACTATGCAAAGTGTGGTTCCATGATTGATATTTCCACACAAACCCAAGCTTCCCTCCATTTGGAGATGGTATTTTAATCCTGTGACTGACCTGAGTTAAGAAGCTTGGTTTTCAATCAGTCTTCATGCACCTGTCTTTAAAAGACCTGGACACACATCTCAAAAGTGATAGGTGTTATACCTATATAATTTGCTTTAAACCAGGGATGTGGGGCCTGTGTCTTCCCCTCCAACCAAAGGAAGCAAAGGCTCAAGGTCAGATCGTGACCAAGAGTGCCAAACCAAACCCAATCCATTTTACGACTCCCAGATTATGAGTGTAATGCAGCCTTCTACAACCTGGTGCACTCCAGATGTTGCCAGATGCCACCTCGAATCAGTCCCAGACTGCATGGCCAATTGCTAGGGATTGTGGGAGTTGTAGTCCCTCTGAACCTAAAGGGCCACACATTTCCCACCTCTGCTTTAAACCTTCTCAATTATCATGTTAACTACCTCCTCTCTAAGGGCAATAAACAATGCCTACTTAGTCATCTCATAACACTGCCTTTTACATACGAGGTTCATTAAGCGCTTTTGTTGAGAGAACAATTGAGAGATCCACCTGCTGCCTTTTCACCCCTTCAGTCAAAAAACTAAGCTTCAACCAACAACCCTGAGGTTGCCTCCACACCCAACTACTACAACCTGAGCAGCACAACAAGAAAAAATGTAGTCAGCCTCGTGCCACTGAAAAAGTAAATTTTCATGCTTCCGTAGGAAGCCAACTGAAGTAGAAGAAACTGTACCCTCACAAACTCACACTCCATATACTGCCTCCCCCCACAGCTCATTTCTGTTCCCTACAAAATCTATTTACATAACATTTTGAGGGTGGGAGCCCATATGGGCACACATACACACAACGGGGGCACATTTGACACCCCCCATACTCTCTCTAACATGCGCTCACACACCGGATAAGGAAATGTGGCTCTCCATTCGCCAAGCAGCAGTCATGGCTTGTAGAGAAGTCCCTGTCATCGCTGGCTTAAGTGAGAGACAACGTAGATGAGGCCCACCAAGAGTAGGCCACGCACGCCGACCATCATGAGAAGGAGCAGCAGCAGGATGGACATGACTGGCTCCACCACCTGGTTTCCAAGGTTCCACGTGAGGAATCCCATGTTCACCAACTGTTGATTGATGTCTGAAAGCAGTGAGCGCTCCCCTGGCCTTGCTGCATCCTGAGGCTGCTGCTGCTGCTGCTGCTGCTGTTGGCGGTAGTGTTGTTGTGGAGCAGGGCCTGCGTTCATGTTGAAAAAACCCTGCGGAGGAACCCCAGAGAAACAGAGTGAATTCATGGCGCCAGATCCAGTTTGACGGATACAGTAAAAGCCAGAAAGAGCCAGAAATGCAGCCATTCGGGTGGTTCATAGATTCCAAAGAGCAGGTACTACCATAGAGAGAGTTTTGAGAAATGAGGAGACTACACAAAAACATACAGCCCTCTTCGGTGAGCACATTCCACAGACAACATTTAAAAATATTTGTTTTAATTTCCACTTCATCCTTAAAAATAGTGCAAGGCATTAAAATGCAGCAGAAAACTTAATTTTTTAAAAAAAAAACCAACATGGTTTAAGAAACAGTAAGCCTGCAATCCTATCTATGACAACTGGACTTAAGATGCCAAAGAAGGCTCCCTGGGGCACACCGCCTACACAGAAATGGAGCCAGAAACAAAATGCTGCAGTGTGGATCACTCCTGTTTTCAGGATATCCTATCCTCCTCCCCTTCCTCCCTCGTGTTCTGTCCCTGGTTTCATTTGCACTATACATTTGAAGCAGTATCATACAGCTTTTTCAGTCATGGCTTCCCCCAAAGAATCATGGGAATCGTAATTCATCAAGGCTGCTGAGAGCTGCTGTTCCCCCCTCAAAGAGCTAAAATTTCCAGGGTTGCCTGTGGAGAAGGACTGACAAACTCCTCTGACAATGGGACTCCAAATAATCAAGTCAGTATTTTGTGACCAGTGAGCATACTCAGTATTCACCAAACTGTTTTTTGGCCTCCTCTCTCCCCCCCCCCCTTAATCTTTCCCACCCCACCCACCCAAGGCTTTTCTTTTGAACACACATCTACAAACCTTGGTGTTTCCCTGAGTCTGTTGATAACCCCTCTAGCATGTGAATGGTGTGGTTTTTGATATGCAATGACTTCAGAGAACTAAAACTCCTATTAGTATTGATGATTCACAACTAAAGCTGCCATGTGAACCCTGGCTAGGCAGCAACACAGGCCCTACAGCATCCACAGCCCTGCTGATCGTGGCAGTCAGGCCAGAAGGGCGGGCAAATCTGCTGCACCAGTGACAGCAGTGGGGATGACTCAAGATCCAGCAACCTTCTCCTTCCTGCCCCTGGAGGACCCCATATTGGGTCTTTCTGCAGGCTGCCACCTCAGGAATCTCACCGGACAGCCTGCATATTTGCAGATGGAATAGGGAACTCCACATGGGCAGTGACTGGCAGGGTTAGGAACTGTGGTCCAGTCCAACTCCCCCTCTCCATCTCAAGTTCAGTACAAAGGTGGTTCAGATTACAGTGCCCAAATGCAATTCTGTGCATGCTTACTTGGAAGCAATCCTGGCTCTATTTTGCAGATTTACTTTAGAGGAAACATGCACTTGTACTTAAAAGGGTAATCTTTGAACAGATCGACTACACTGCAGAATTAAGCATCCATTTGTGACAGGAATATTGAAACCAGTTCCTCACATAATAATGCTCAGCAAAACTGAAGCACCACAAAAAGGTCTTCTCCTCACCGGCCGAGAGGAGGTTCCTCTGTTCTGAGTGCTCTGTCGCACTCGAGGGTCATCATCTTGTACGATGTCGCCGTTGGCCAAAATGCGCACCATCTTTAAGGGTCGTGTGGTGTTTGTTTTGCCACCCCTGTTAACATAAAAAAGAAAAGAGTTTTGAACAAGCTCCAACAGTTGTCTTAGGGAAAGGAGCGCAGTTTAGAGAAGCTGGGACATATCAAATTAATATACATGAAGGCAGTGCTTTATTAAAAAAAATGTTTAGGGGTACTCTCATTTTCCTACTCTCATTGAAATATTGCCCCTCAATGAGGCCAAACTTAGATTCACAAAATGTTTAGGGGTATGCGTACCCCCAGGAAAAAAGAACTGCATGAAGGCACATTTTTATACTCTCTGTTAGTTGCTCCACAATTAATACTGATTAATACTCTTTTCATGGTCACAATGGCTAATGTAGATTGGAATACTTATCACACTTTTTACACAATCCTAAACTGTATGCCAAAAAAAATCTATTCCATGGATCATTCATATAGAAACACTGGGGGGATGGACACAAATTACCAAAAAAAACCCCAGCCAGACAAGCCCTTTGGCAGCTTAAGCAAAAGACTAGCAAGAAGAAAGGCTGACTCACACACTCCTATACAGTAGAGCCATCATCATCCAGTTAAAGTGGATTAATCACAGGACTCTTTAATCGATTAAGTTGGCATACACACTGTAAGAATGAAAATGAAAAGCATGCTTTGCTTTTAGATGATGCATGCATTTGTCGCAACAGACACCATCTTGGAAAAGTTAATTCCTTCTAGCTCAGAGAGAAGAACGATTAATCATAGTCCATTTCAAGCAGCAACCCTAGGCACAGTCAGCAGGGAGCAAGTCCCATTGAATTCAATGGGGCTAACTTCAGACTAAGCAGGGATAGGACTGCACAGTTGATGAGTCAGAAGACTTTTAATCATTTAATCCAATTAACTGACAAATGGCTGCAGCCTGATAGCTAAACAGAAAGGTGAAAGTCTGTCTCTTAATTCCTTGGACGATTAACAGAAATCACAAATGGCAAATTTTAGAGAAAGCTCTACACATTTGATTAGACCCCAAGGCTGCATCTGAATATAGATTTCTAAGCACTTAAACTAACCTGGGAAACATTCCCATAAAAACAGTTTTTCCATGGTGCAAGACAGTCTGATGCTGGTGTCACACATGACCCAACTACAGTCAGGAGGACCATTACAGATTGATGGCCCAGGCATATCTTTTATTTTTGTTATTATATTTATCAGGCACCGCCTTTCACCAGAGGCAACTCAAGGCAGCTTCACAAAAGCACAACATAATGTACTTCAGGAGTGAGATGAAAATCCAAGTTGCCCTAAAAAACACTCAGGCAGATTCACACAGTATTAAGCCGTAAGCTAGAAAAATCCCCAGACCCGTTAAAATTTCTCACCTACAGCTTGAATTCACCAGGCAGCCTTAGACACGCTACTTCTCTCTCAGGTTCAGCTCTACAGTTGCAATACTGACCTACCTCGCATGGGTAAGAGTTAACAAGCAAGCAGAAAACACAGGTAGCAGAATTAAGGGACTCACTGCTACGAGTTATGATAACAGAGCTTAGTTGTTGTTTTTTAATGTGAGGTGCCCTAGAATGCCCAGCCCCGCTTTGGGAGGAAAGTCACCCCTTCTGACAAGGAAACGGGCACTCTGCACATGCTCGCAAAGCGCTGCTTATTCTTGCAGCTGCTCCAGGGCAGACAGCCAAACCCCCTCGGATTAAGGGACCAACTTCCCACGCTGCATTTGGCTCAAATAAAATCCTGGCAGGTAACTCTGCCCTGCTTCAACCAAGGGGATTCTCATTTCTTCGGCTGCATCTTCGGATTCTGCATTTCTGACAGAGCTGCCCCTTCAGAGGATAAAGCAAAAAAAATTGGCGGCGGGGTAGGAGGGCTGAAGGAGCAGTTAGAGATGCACCACTCGCCTCTTTTCTCCCCCTCCGGCTGATGCAAAACGTCTCCGGCTGCTGCTCCTCCAGCTGCTTCCTCTCGACTGTGACACATCTGAAGCTTGGCAACTTCCTACAGGCTGTCGGCGCCGGAAGTTGCAAGCAGGCGAGGGAAGGGAGAGGCGCAAAGCAAGATCCTGCGGCTAGAAGCCTTTGCAAAACCTGAGCAGCCCCCTCCTCAGGCGCCCTCCGTGAACTGCAGGTTGCTTGACGGCAAGAGAGCTCGCGCTGGCGGACGGAAGGAAGTTCTGCTGGACCAGGGCCTTCCAGATGTTTTGGCTGCGGTTGGAGGGAGGGGCAACCGACCTCTGGATGGCCGCGTGTTCCTCGCCCCCCCCCCGGGTAAAGGGGGAAAAGGAGGGCAGGGCTCCCCCTGCACCTTTAACCGCTGGGTAGAAGAGAGAATTGCAACAGGTTTGAGGAAAGATTAATATAAGTTTTGATGTATTGGTAAGAAAACCTGCCATGGTCTATGATATATGTGAAACACTGTTAGTTTTGATACGTAATTTAGTTTTTAAGTAACGAATTGTAAGGCTGATTATGATCTCTCACAATAAAAATTGTTTTTTCATTAAATTTTTGTAAATTTACAATTTTGTAAATAAATTACAATAATTTACCATTCTCATACAATTTACACTTTGTATCAAAGTGCCCCATCCACTGTATCAAAGTGCCCCGTAGGTGGGGCAGAATGATACAAAACCCATTTTTCACTCATGTCATTATATTCTCATTATCGTCTAACTTTAATTATTCTTTTGATTGCTGTTATAATATTGATTAGCAAATATTGATAAAGCAATTTTTTTAATTATTTGACACATTGTGTTACATAAAATATGAGATTGAATTTTTCTGCATCAATCTGCCCCACTTCCCCCTATCCTTTCACAATGCAGAGCTATAGCTACAGGGGGTGGGGGTGGCTAGCCGGATTTTTTTACCACTGTGAAGCCTCCAGGGGGGCACCATTGAGACTCCCAGCCCGTGTGGGTGGGTGGGTGCAAATGTGTGTGGATGTGCCAAACTGGGTCTTTGACCCAGGTAAAATAAATCCTAGTTTCGCCCCTGCACAATGGAATGGTTTCTCCCTCTCCTTCCCCTGTGTGCCCCCTAAATCTGTTCTCAGAGTTCCCTTAATCCTCTGGAGTGGATTTGGGGGTGGCATGGGCCAGTTACCATAAGAGGAGAGTGGGGAATCCTGCTGCACTGGAGTTAATCCTTGCACTAGTACCAGTGTTGAATACCACCCAAAGCCTGCAATTTCTGCAGATATAGTCAATGCATTTACATTTTTTCCCTCAGCAACCAGAGCTGGGGGGGGGGGCATCAAAAATGGTTCAAGTGATATATGGATTAAATGAAGTCCTGGTAGAAAGTCCATTGTTTTTTCTTTTGTGGGAAAAGGAGATTCCAGCACAATTCAGGCAACCTGAGAGTTTGCCTGCATGTGTTCATTTTTGCTCACCGGACATGTGCAGGAATCAACAGTAAGGGCATGAGGGCATGTTAATTTTTCTCAGTCCCAGTATATCTCTCATTCGTTTAGGTGAAGCCTGAACTATGTTTCTGCTTCATGGAAACACCAGTGCAAAACCATCTCTTGGGGTCTCCCTTTGCATACATCTCCTCCTTAGGGGGAAGCAAAACAAACCCCAAAATAGGTTTTAACAAAGACACACTGCTGTAGGCCCACATTGTGAGCCTGAAGGACAGAACTAATCCTTTTAACACTTGGCTGCCTTTCTTTGCTAAATGGGGGGGGGGGGCCTGAAAAGTAGGGAAAGCGGGCTCAAAGTTTGGGATTGCAACATTAATCCCCTCCCTATGCCTCAGAAACAATACAATCATTTCAGGAACACATTTGAGCACTTTAAGTCTCCCATACCTCTCACTTCTAAAGCTGACTAGAATGCTAAAGAGTCAAGATGCCCTTTGGTCTGTTAAGAAACCCTCCTGAGATTCAGTTTTCAAACCATTTATGCAGCTCTAGAAAATATAATCTTGATCCCTGAATTCTACTTGAATGCTCACTTATATGGTAGGTTCTGCCAGCATTGATCAAGTTAGTAAGGGGGTGACAAATTTAGGGCAGTGCGGACGGTTACCTCGCACAACGCGACAAGCTGAGGAGGTGCAAAATATTAATAATGACAAAAATAAAACCTATATTTATATAGGTGCTTACTGAGAAAATCCATAAGAAAAGCAACTGTACCAAAAGGAATTATTGTGAAATTTTATTGTGCTGTTTCAATTCACTTTCTCTCACCCCTTCCGCACCCTTCAACGTGATGTTAACGTTAAGTTTTGAGAAGACTTGGGGTGTGGGGTGTGTTGAAATATTCATTACACACACACACTTGTAATCATAGAGTTGGAAGGGTCATCTAGTCCAATTCCCTGCAATGCAGGAATCTTTTCCCAATGTGGGGTTCAAACCTGTGACCTTAAGTCTCATGGTCTACCAACTGAGCTATCCCAGGTCCATATTTCTCTTTTAAAAAGAAGTACTCCCTTCAGTCTCAGCCCTCTGGTTTAAAATTTGCCCCTGCTAATCAACATTTGTACCCTAAATAGCCAATAAATAAAAACTTTACTTGATTCCCCTTCCAATTAAATTGATTCATCCTTTCAACTCTTAATGCCTCTCTAGCTCTGCTTACAGGTCAGGCAGAGGTACTGCTAAAAGTGGACTGGCATTCAAGTGCCTAGCTCAGAAGTAAGCACAGAGATTTAGCTCTTCTGGCTGGCACCGTGGCTTTCATCATGAGAGAGATTTACCGGCAATATTTTATAAACTAAGACAAGCAGTTGTATCAGAAGTGCCCTTGGCAATCATAGTATATTGTATATCAGAGTGGCCAGAAGGTGCATTGAAGTTTATTAGTAGATTTAATTTAATTAGTAAATTAGTGGTTTGCAGTAGCTCAGCAAGGGTTTCTGATTCCCAGTAGTTTTAACAATACTGTAGCAACAACAACAAAACTGTTTATTCTACCTAAATAATGCGGCTGAAATGAAGAGAGCTAAGCAGGAGTGGATGTCTTGTGTGAAACAGTAGTGAGCTCAGTTCAGTTTTAATACCAAACACAAATTCCTAGTCTACAACGAATTCAGAGGCACTCTGTTCCTTAATGCTAACTGTATGCCCTTTGTTCCTGGCTCTGGTTCCTGGATCCTGGAGTTTTCGTAAAAACCAAAGTAGATCAGGCATGCCTCCCCACCTCTCTTGTTAGCATTTGTAAAGTACTGCACTTGAGGTTCTTCAAAGTGTTTCACATGAACATTATCTTGTAAGCCTTTTAACTAACCTGTAAGATAAAGGTAAAGGGACCCCTGACCATTAGGTCCTGTTGTGGCCAACTCTGGGGTTGCGGCGCTCATCTCGCTTTATTGGCCGAGGGAGCCGGCGTACAGCTTCCGGGTCATATGGCCAGCATGACAGGATGGGAGTATTGTGGCTGAGAAACAGCTTCCCTTAGGGAAGCTGTTTCTCAGCCACAATACTAGTCAGTTTCATTGCAGAGGTGACATTTGCAATGAGCTAGTCAGTTCATTGCAGAGGTGACATTTGAACCTAGGACATCCTGGTTTGTCACCCAGCCTCCAAGACCTACCAGACTGTACTGGAACCAGTTTAAAATATGGCAATCAAGACAACTCCCATATCAAAACTGGGGCAAGCCTGGATTGGAAGGAATGAGGTGGGCTTTGCTCACAGAGCTGCTTTGGTCGAGGGCACCTCCAGTTGCAGCTGCTTCCTGCAGCGTGAAGTTTCACAGCTCACCAAAGAGATGACTGAATTTAATTTGCAATGAATGGGCCCCTCCCTTGATCTAGATGACATTTTCATTGCAAACTAACAAGAGGAGAAATCCAATTACATCACAAAGGGGCTCCCTAATAGGCCATTCAACTTGGAGAGTGTGTGGAGGGAGGGTGAAGAGGCGTGGAACTACTCTCCAAACCAAAGTCTGGAAGGGGTCTCTGTGGCTACAGGATACTGGGCAGATAACAATGTGGTCAGCGTTCCGGCAGAGGGGGAAACAGCCTATAGGAGAGACCGCCCACTACAACAACACTGGTTTGGAGCCAGACAGATGCTAAGGGTCATGCTTTTAAGAAGGGAACTTGGAGGAAAATTCCTTCGCTTTATTGGAAAGGCAAACTTGGATCCACAATGTGAAGGATTTCTAGGCCACTGAAGACCAATGACTAAAGTGATTATCGTAACATCTCAAACATCAGCTCTTTATCCCTCCAGAATCTCAGCACCTGTTCACATAAAACCTTGTGCAGACTTAGTGACTGAATGATACTTCATGGAAGAGTGGTTCCTAAAGAATGCCACAAATTTTCTCTCGGGGCACCAGCACTCAAGGGCAAATGAAACGCACCATCATATTGTAACATGAATGTAGGATAAATTTTATAAAATGACACAGAAGGCAGAAGGACTATATTGAGCATGAGAAACAATGACTAGGGAAAGTGTTTGTTTTTATTTCTTTAACTGGCCCAGTTACTGAGCCATGTATGTCAGCTCAAACACAATATTTTTTCCAGTGGAGATAGTTCGTACATTCACCTGAGAGTGTCACTAAGGGTATGTGCAAATGAGTCACATAACAGATGCAGTGTGAATATAAGTGACCACATTGGCTTGGAGAACGTCTTTCTCTGTTAGACACTATTGCAGTTCATATCAAACACTTGAATTAACGTTAATGAAATTGAACAGGAAGCAAAATTTACTCGATTCTGAGAACAAAACTGCCAAAAGAAGGCAGAAAGTAGGGGGGGGGGCAAGGATGGGACAGCACCCAAAGCCTTAGACGAACTTTTTCCAAGAAACAAGTTTAGGGTAAATTCATTTATCCCTGTTATGGATGCCCTTGAAGCCAGCCTAGACAGAAGAGCAACAGTCTGTAGGGGTGTAGCTGGCATTTTAAAAAAATTGA